TGCATATCTACAGTCCAAATCCTCTTACTAGCAACTCAACTATCAAAATGTTCTCATCTCTAAGGGTTGCACAGAACTAGAAAATATTTCTTCTTTCAGTTTTGTAGTGACTAAAGGACTCTTGTAGTCAAATAGAAGAAAAACATTAAGTTTTCAGCAATTAAGTAGACTGACCTGTTAGACCATCGCACTTTTGAGCCAAACCAAAGTTGCTTCTCGATCTAGCTCACACCCACTTAGGAAGGCCTCTCTATTTTCTTTGCTCTTGATGAAAACTGCAAATGCTTTTGCCTTCTCTTCCTTTGTCAATTCCATTGTGCTCAGAACGGATATACACCTTTTGATAGAGAAGTCATTACCTTCAGCAACCTCCTTTTCTTTGGCTAGATCTGCAGACTCATCTTGTACTTGCTTAGTCCTCATGTCTAGGTATCTCCCCATCATTTCTTCAATCCTTTCACCCTTCTTAGGTCTCTTTTCTTCCTTTTCATGTTTTTTGCTTGATGTAGCAGTAGTTGTTCGCTGCCTGCTTCTTTCAACAGCTACGACCTCATTTTCTTCATCTCGTGACAGAGAACCTCGCTGTCCATTTCTTTCAACAGCTACAACCTCACTTGCTTCCTCTTGTATCTCAGTGATTGAATCATCTTCATCTAGTACCTCATGAACCTCAATGTTGTCCAAGTCATCTACATCATGAATTTGTCGAAGTGGTGCTTCCTCTTGTGGTGGCTCAAGAGAAGTCAGATTGTAAGTACCTTCAGCCAAATGACCTACACGATAACAAGAAAATAGCTATAGATAGTGGTCTTTCCTCATGAAATTCAAGTATAAAGAGAACCAATATAGTTATGACCTAACTCTATAAAACTAGCATATTGTTGCTTAGTCATCAGAACTAGTAGACAAGTCAAGTGAATCATAGGATAATATAGATCAACAAGATAGAAACAAACAAATACTAAAGTGAGAAACAGAAAGAATATATTGATTGGCACTGTTTGCAACTATAGAAAGTGAACCTACCATCATAAAGCTCTCCCAAAGCATCAAATAGTGGAAATCTTGCCTTACTGTTGCGGAACTTCCTAATTTTAGGGAATGTCTGCACATTCAAAGAGAATCATTGATCAAATATGAGGTTATCACTATGAGGATATCCATAGAATTACTTCAAGAAATCAACTTACAATTTCAAGGTTATCCCACATAGATGGTGATCCTTCAACCATATGCCTATCTTCATTCCAGGTGGCCCCACTCTGCCTCCTTGCCTCTTTGAGCATCCTATAGTCTTTCTTTAACTGTCCTTCTTTGTCTTGAATCTGACTCTTTGTGTAGTTGACATACTTGTTCCTCAGATGGAACTCCTTCACCATTTTATTCCACCCTTCAGGGGTCCATCCGTTGTCACCTCTGTAGCCACTATCTTTATACTCATGGAGAATGTCTACCAGGGACTTCTCAAGGGCCGGATTCCAGTCCGCTCTTTGCTTTACTACTACGTAAACCATGGTCAGACATTAGGTTACCAAAAATCAGCAAATACAAATAACAGTAAAGAAATACCAGTTTACAGGTTATAGGTTTACTAAAACTACTATAATAGCACATGATGGAATAAATTGTATAGAAGAGAATTACTTCAAGAAAGTTCTTTTTAGTAGCAAACAGCTGTAAAGAAATAACAGCAATAATAGCAGAGAAATAATAGCAATAATAGCAGAGAATTAAACATCATACCTCTCGGAGAACCTCCAGTCTTCTTTGCCTTACTGCATTTAAGAGAAGCCTTCTTTTTAATACCACTTGCTGTACCCAAGAACCGGTGCAACTTTGGTGACGCCCTTGCAATCATATTGAGCTTCGGGGAGCCTTTTCCAACCATCGCTGTCAAATATGAGTATATGACACAAGCCTATTCACTTATTACAAGCTTATTCAATTATTATAAGCCAAGTTTATTACAAACTTATTCATGACAAAAGCTTATTACAACCTATTCAAAGACTAATTTAAAGACTAAAAAGAAGTCTCTGCTTAATTATAATCCATGCTTATTACAAGCTTATTAACTTATTACAGCCTATTCAAAGACTAATTTAAATGTTGCTGGTACTGAACCCACATTTCTTGGGCGATGGTGTCTCTTAAAGCGTTGCCTTGTACTGAACCCACATTTAGGTCATTCATTTGATCACCACTTGGTACAGCAACAAAGTTTCTTGGAGAGATATTATCCGGCTGATGATCTAACCATTCCTCATCTCCATGAAGTAATCGGATCAGATTATGGAAGATGGAAGCAGCTATAGGTATCTTCACTTGATTTTCCAACATGTGGAATGTGGCAACTTTCAGAATGGGGAAGCGCTTCTTAAGCACCCCCAAAGCCCTTTCCACATGGTTCCTCAGTAGTGCGTGGCGGTGGTTAAAGAGCTCCTTTGGGTTCTGCGGCCTTCGATGTCCCGCCCCAAATTCTTTCAAATGGTATCGAACTCCTCGATATGGAGCAAGAAAAGATGGAGTATTTGCATACCCTCCATCAACCAGATAGAATTTGCCTGGAGGTACTTGGAAGCCCTTGCTCATAGCTGATCGTAGCACTCTAGAATCTGTAGCCGATCCCTCCCATCCACTAGAAATGAAAGTGAAGTTGAGATCGAAATCACATGCCACCATCACATTAATGCTTAGTGTGCCCTTCCTATTTCTAAAAGGAGAAGCTTTCTCAGAGGCTATGGAAATAGGAATATGAGTTCCATCAATGGCACCTAGACAATTCTTGAAAAATGGATAGAATCTAGGATTGTCTTGGATTTTTTGATGCACTTGATTAGGATCAGGAGCTTGAAGGTAACGGCGAGAGAGTGCGGGAATGACCACTTTGAAGAAGTGGTTGATGTGATGATGGAAGGTGTCATTGCTGTGCCCAAAGAACACTTGGAGATCCTCATACGAGGCATTGTGACTTAACATGTATAGGAAGAAACCCAACTTCTCCTCCACCGTGATCCTAGTATCAACAACAAGCCTTTTCCTTCTAAGATAAGTTGCCAATTCTCTAAAGATGTGTGGTTCCATCCTAAATGCAACTTGACAGTTCTTGACATGTCCCTCGAGGAGTCTACGAACTTTAACCTCGCCTGTTTCTTCCGAAGTATGACGTTTCTTCCTTTCTCCCCCTCTAGTAGAACTCATAAGATATAAGGCGGGGAAAATAAATAGCATCATGTCATCGTCTTCTTCCTCCCTCCTCTTTCTAATGCGATCTCGCAGTGAGAGACGCATTGTACAACTGAAGCATACAATTTTATAGTCATATAGAAGCTAAATATTATTAACCATGTCATATAGAAGTTATATTATTGACCATGTCATATAGAAGCTGTAATAAAGATTATAGTCGTCTTATAGAAGCATATATAAACTTATAGTCATATAGAAGCTTTTGGAGTACCTTTTGGAGTTGGCACCGGATCCCAAGAAGGCAGAGGTTCACCTTCCCCAACTCTAAATGGTGCTGGAGAGATCTACAAGTAACAAGAAACCATTTAAGTTTATATATATGGTTCGTAGAAAAATGCCAACACAATTACCACATGTCTAATGCAGCATGTTTTGAACCAGAGGAGCAGCACTAATGTAGAGCTTCAGAAAACTAAAGGTACAGAAACAATGACAAGCTGCGGACCCTACTGAACCCAACGAATGAACTGCAAGGCTAAAGAGGTCCTACCTTTCTTCTTAAAAACAAAGGATAATAACAACTCACAAGCCTTTAAAACAAAGAAGAAGCTCAATTTAGTCTGCAAGACACATAACACAACCTGCAGACCTGAACCTCTACTAACTATTTTTAGAAAAAACAAGGGTACAGAAGTATCAACAGAACAAGTATGCAGTAAGTTTGTACCACAGGCCACAGCTTGTTCAACAAACTACAAAGTACAGTCCACAACCACAGTTAAGGCAAGAATATGTATTCTGCTATACAACACAAAAGCATGTCACATGTAAAATGCTAGGATTATATACTTTGCATGCATGTCGAGAAAACCTAGAGATGTAAGCTCCAACTCTGAGTACCTCTACGACTAACATCTGGACCATGAACTACAAATAAAAAAATTACCATGGTTCAATGCGGTATCAAAGCAAACAGAAGCATATAAAAAAGAACTGTTTAAAGAAACAGGAGACAGAAGCACAGCACGATTTATGGTTTCCAACGCAAATGCTGAGACTATTATTAACATGTGGTACAATGAGTTCAAATTAGTGCACAAGATTGCAAGCATTGGGGGAAGGAGTCGGATTTCAAAAAGGCCAAGTTACAACCAAATGTATACAATATATCGCATTGCAGTACACAACTCTGGTTATCATAAAAGCACCATATGCATGACGCTTCACCCAACACCTTTACAAATTGACAGTGAAGTATCAATCGCAGAAGCAGAAACTACATTGGTTGGTGTGGACTAATAACAACAAAAACGGTTAGAACTGTTGGTGCAGCTGCTTGAACAATCAGAAGGGCAGGAAGAAAAAAAGGACCCATAGAAACTTGTGGATTTCTAAAATGCAGGAGTATCTACTGCTGTGCGAGGGAACGACCTACACTTGTGACACAAATACTGAGACACACTTGTGGATTTCTAATTTGCAGACTAAAAATATAAGCTTTCCCTCAGCTAGAGTTTACTTAATACTGAGACACAAATAGTAAGTAGTTGTTTCATATTTGAGGTACCAGGAACTAGAGTATGGAACGTTACCGGTAGTAACAGAAGGACAACCGAAGTAGTTGCATTTTTAATACTAAAAAAGAAGATAATGCATTAGTATTTCGTTTCGACAGGGAGACACTGTCTAGGCAAGCAGATGGTCAAACCAAGAGATGATGCAAAGTGTTGTTTCCAGAAGACACTACTGCATGTGTTTATGCCTGAATATAATCCTGTTGATGCACTGCACCAGCAAAACCACCTTAGAACATGGCTGTCAACCGGTAAAGCTAGCTAGATGGATCACTCCAGTACGAGTAGTGCACAATCAATCCACCCCCATAACTCAAGAAATCAAATTTAGACCCTTCAATGTGTCCTTCAAATGCCAATCAAGCTAGAGATTTACATCTAATAATATAAAATTTTTAGGATGGAGCTGATTTAAATATTAAAGAATGCAAGATCACATGGGGTGTCCTTCGACAGAAATATTTTGCTTCCACTAACAGAACTGAAAGGCCCCACAATAAGTAAATGTGAATATTTCAATATAATGAAAATTAGCACATGGCAGTACTGATTTTTAATAATACAGACTGGACTTGCATATCACGGTTAGCACCATACACATTGCTACCTTTGACTACGAGAAATCAAACAACCATGATTTTTTCCATTTTTTAGCCATCTAGCCAAAATCAATTTTCCATTCTCTTAACATCTAAACGATGGAAGCAACTGACCAAAATGCTCCCAACTAAGCACTAAACAAGCAAGCAGCAAGCATATACCTCTATCAATTATTCCTTCTCCACTCACTTCTACGTGAGCACAGCAAGCTAGCACCTCCCTACACCCCTCTGCACCTGGGCAAATTTCTCTCTTTCTCTGTGCTACTTATTCATCACGAGCAGATCAACATTAGGCCAGAAGTAGCAGCTCACACTTCTCCCTCTGCTCTCTATTTTCCCCAAAATCAGATGAGGCATACAAGCTACAGCGGTCCAGAAGCTAGCAGCTACAGCACTACGAGCTCAGATCAGGTCGACCGACCCATGATTCCATCCCTCCCCCAGCCGCTCCGCTCCCCACACAAATTAAAGCCCCACCTCCGAGCATCCTCACCGGCCGGCAGGAGATTTTTTTTCCTTTTCCAAGAACCCTAGAGAACCCTAGAGGAGGGAGAGAGGACGAGGACGAAGGGGAGAGCGAGGGAATCACCGGCGAGAAGGACGAGGAAGGGGGAGGACGTAGGGTTGCCGTCGCCTCACGCCGCCCCGCGGTCTCCCCGCGCCGCCCCGTGGTCACCTCGCGCCGCCCCGCCGTCGCCTCTGCTGCGTCGTCGCGTGCTCGCGTCGTGGAGAGTGGAGACAGGGAGCCGGCACCGATCCGGATGGTAGGAGGTGTGGTTCCGTTCCGGGCTGTGGAGACCGGGAAAAAAGAAGCCAGTTTTGGTTCCGGACCAGTTTTCGTTCCAGGCCGGCCCGAAACGAACGCATAGTCTCGTTCCCATCCGGATTGAAAACGGGCCGCAGCGATCCGCCCAGAACGGGCTCGGGAATGGGCCAATCCGGTAGAAACGAACGAGGCCTTAATGTGTGGAATCTGGCCTCATAGTCACAGGATTATTTTTCATAATGATGTCAATGTGCACACGTCTGTTCTGAAGCGGAGTTGATGAGTTACTCGCGTTTTTCTTGTGCTAAAATTTATTTTGTGTTTTGTAGGAAGACAATGGAGAGGCGGAAGCATCAGGTGAGGGTAAGCACGGAGGGTGGCGGTGACAATAACCCTTCCGGCGATGGTCACAGCCGGAGGAAGTATGACCAGAAGGAGATTCTTGGAGAGAAGTAGTTGGTCTTTGTTTTCATTCCAGATCCCTCCCAGTATCTGCTGACGTCCTTTTTTTTTTGCAAAGTGGATCGAAATCATTTGCTTCTGCCGGTTATAGCTATTCCTGCTGGTTCGTAGCTATGTATCACACACGAAAAAATTCATAACTTCATCGTATGAAGTCGGATGAAGATAAACTTTATACCAAAATTGTAGAGTTCAAAGAGATGTAAAACTTTGTAGTTTAGAACCTTTTCATTTGAAATGATTTATATGTACAAATATTCAATACACGTTCTCGGACCCTGTTAATTAATCTCGGATCGAGACAAAATCAACATCAAAAGTACTATACGAGATCTACAACATCAGACTTTTTTTTCTTCATTTTAGATCATTTTGAAGTGTCAAATATGCAATGCAAGAGCAAAGACACCGGCTATTCTGAAACTCTGCGAAATTTGCAGGTCTTACTACCGGTGTGTGCACCGGCCCCAAGGATGCAACGCAACGAAGCAGGTTCAGCGTTGCGACGAGGACCCAACGCTCTTCGATGTCATCTACTATGGCACTCACACCTGCATTCAAAGTACAGCGGGAGCAACGGCGCAGCAGCCAGAGTGCATCCAGTACAAGCAGAGCCTCACATCGTCGTCGTCGGTGGTGCCGACTTCGAGCTCACTCAGTGATTACGCCAGTGGGTCTTTAAAGACCACGAAGAGGTGAGTATCCTTAATGTGTGGAATCTGGTCTCATAGTCACAGATTATTTTCCAAGAAGATGTCAATGTGCGCAGGTCTGTTCTGTAGCGGAGTTGATGAGTTATTCGCGTTTTTCTTGTGCTAAAATTTATTTTGTGTTTTGCAGGAAGACTATGGAGAGGCGGAAGCATCAGGTGAGGGTAAGAACGGAGGGTGGCTGTGACCCCCCTTCCGGAGATGGCCACAGCTGGAGGAAGTATGGCCAGAAGGAGATTCTTGGAGACAAGCACCCATGGTTGGTTTTTCTTTTCTTTCCAGATCCCTCCAAATGTCTGCTGATGACCTTTTCTGTTTTGAAAAGTGGTTCGAAATCATTTGCTTTTGCTTTCGGATTTCGACGTTGTGGCAGCCCTTTTTGAAAACTGTATCATTTGCTTATTCCAAAATGATCAGCTTGAGGCATTTGGTAGTTTGCCTAGATAGCCCATGCAGAGCCTCTTATTGAAATTAAAGGCAAGTTCATTGCAAATATAAAACACATGTCTCTTTGAAAAAAACGCCTATCTCCAAAAACTTTTACTACAAAAACACACGTCACTGCCGGTACAATCACTATCGGTTGGTTGGTTTGTAGCTACGGATCACTTGTGTGTACGATAAAATTTATAACTTTTTCATATGAAGTCGGATGGAGATTAACTTTATACCAAAATTATAGACTTCAAAGAGATCTAAAACTTTGTAGTTGAGATCTATTTTCATTTGAAGTGGTTTATATATCCACATATTCAACAAAACTCCTCGGCGTTATTAAACAATCTCAGATGGAAACAAAATTAACATCAAAGTTGTAGTACCAGACGAGATCTACAGTATTGCATTTAAGTTTTTTTCCCATTTGAGATCATTTGTAGTGTCAAATATACAATAGGATAGTATCAGTCATATACCTATGTTGTTGTGTAGTTGATATGGTAAGAACTCTATGTATGAGGCTTGAGGTCGTTGGTTCATTTCCTTAGAAACACATTTATTTATTTATTTATCAGCAATATCACTGCTAATTCTAATGGTCTTTCATAACAGGTGAACCGATAAATAGTGATAGGTATAGATTTTTTATAGTAGTGTTTGTGGTAGGATAGTTGGATCAGTATTGCACAAAAGTTCAGATGGAATGTGGTAATGCAAGTTTGTGCTAATCTAGCTCTGCATTTGAAGCAAAATATACTTTTTCATTACAATACGAGATTCACACCTTAAAAACTCTTAAGCATGGTGCAAAACAATGCAGGACCTACTTGTTAGATTGATCTCTAACCTAACTGGACCCACCGGCTCAGTTGGGCCTTTGATTCGCGCCCTGATCGGGGGCACCCAGCCCACCATGGTTGGAGGGCCCCTGTCACCCTGCGCTATAAAAAGAGGTGGGGGCCGACGGCTCTTATCACGAGGTTGACCTGAGCCGACCTCCCCACCGACAAACCCTAAACCCGATCTAAGTGAGGGGCGCAGCCAGTGATGGGAAGTTCCTCCACCACTGCACTGTACCACCGTCGATCTTCACCGCCGGTCGCCACTGCTCTTCACCACCCGCTTCCCCGACCATCGCTGCCCGTGCGCAGACTACATCGACGTACGTGATGGAGGCCTCTGGATCTACTTCCTCTATGGTGTCAGGTTCGTCAGACTTCATCCACCTCCCTCTGTTCAACAGCGTGTGTCCTAGGTCACTGATTCATCATGTAGTCCCTCGGATCTATCCCTATTACGATCTACAGTTCTAACATTGGTATCAGAGCCGCACTGGATCTAACTTTCTTATCCTTTTCTAATCGGTTTACCCGTTCTAGATCTAAAACCCTAGAACAAATGTGGCTGATGCCGCTTGAGCAACCAGAGAGAGATTTTGCATCCCTAAAGATGTCCTATGACCTTGAACATAGGAAATGGGTCACTGCCAACAAGAAGTGTTTGGCTGTGATAAAGAACACGATTGAGCCTGCAATTGTGGGCTCAATCCCAGAGTGTGACATCGTCACCGAGTATCTCGAAAGAATAAAGAGTCAGTTCACTGGCTCTTCAAAGACATATGCTACCCAGCTGATAAAACAGCTGGTGACAGAGAGGTACTCAGGTAATGGTGGCATAAGAGAGCACATACTAAGGATGAGCAATCTGGCATCCAAGCTAAAACCAATGGATCTGGCTCTCAAGGATGAGTTCCTTATCCATCTGATTTTTGCTTTTTTGTCAAAAGAGTTTGACACATTTGTTGTCAACTACAACATACAACCCGAAAAGTGGGACACGGAGAGGCACATGGCTATGTGTGTGCAAGAGGAGGAGAGAATGAAAGCTGCCAATGGTGGCACTATCAATTATCTGAAAGACAACAAGAAACAAAATAATAATGCCAACTTCTCCTCAAAGTCAAAGGGAAAGGGCCCCATGCTGCATAAGCCTCAGCAGAACCAGTTCACAGTAGAGAAAGACCAATGTCTCTATTGCAAGAAGACGGGACATTATAAGAAAAATTGTCCCGATTACTTAAAGATGATCATGGCAAAGAAAGGTGAGAACATTATTACGTTCATAAATGAATCCCTGTATGTACAGTATTCGAAATCTACTTGGTGGATTGACTTAGGTGCAACTGTTCATGTTGCTAATTCTTTACAGGGATTTCGTTCGACGAGGACTATGGAAAGAAGCGAAAGACGCGTTAAAGTAGCAAATGGAGTCCGAGCAGAAGCTGAAGCCATTGGCGATCTTTCTCTAGAGCTTGCTGATGGTTTCAAACTTATACTTAGAGATGTTCTTTATGTTCCCTCGTTACAGAGAAATTTAATAAGTGTTTCATGTTTGGACAATGATGGATATGATTTTTTTTGGAAATGGCAAATGTAAGATAACATTTAATGATACATGTGTTGGTCTTGCTATCTTACAAAATGAGCTTTATTTGTTATCACTACGTGATGATGTGAATGGTGTATGCGATGATGGGAACATTGCGTGCGACAATGTGAATGTATCCTCGTCTGCGGATGTAAACAGAAAACAAAAGAGGGCTCACGATGCGTTGTCAAAATTATGGCACTGTCGTTTAGGCTATATTTCGAGGGGGAGAATAGAAAGACTAGTTAAGAATGATATTCTTCCACCATTAGAGCTCTCAGATTTAGAACAATGCAGAGATTGCATAAAAGGAAAGTATGTAAAGAAAATTAAGAAAGATGCCAAACGAAACGTAGGAATTCTATAGATTATTCACACAGACATCTGTGGTCCCTTTCCTATAAAGAGTGTGGATGGTTATGATTCATTCATAACATTCACAGATGATTACTCCCATTATGGCTACATTTATCCAATCAAAGAAAGAACAGAAGCATTGGATAAATTTAAGATATTTAAGGCAGAAGTTGAAAACCAACACAATTTAAAGATTAAGATAGTCAGGTCTGACCATGGGGGGGAGTACTACGGTCGGCATACCCCATATGGCCAAGTTCTTAGACCTTTTGCATGGTTCTTACAGGAGAATGGCATAGTAGCCCAGTATTCTACACCGAGCGAACCTTAGCAGAATGGAGTAGTTGAAAGGCGCAATCGTACCCTGATGGATATGGTGCGCAGTATGATAAGTTACTCCACCTTACCGATGAGCCTGTGGATGGAGGCGTTAAAAACCGCCATTCATATTCTCAATAGAGTACCAAGTAAGTCGGTGCCCAAAACACCGTATGAGTTGTGGACAGGAAGAGTACCCTCACTAAACAACTTACGTGTGTGGGGGAGTCCTGCTGAGGCTAAAGTATTTAACCCAAACATTGGGAAGCTAGATCCCAAAATAGTAAGTTGCCATTTCATTGGCTACCCAAAAAAGTCAAAAGGTTTTCGTTTCTACTGTCCAGATAGACATACAAAGTTTGTGGAAACGAGATACGATGTCTTCCTAGAGGATGAAATGATGAGGGGGAGCATGGTAGCTCGAGAAATTGACCTTGAAGAGAAGCGGGTGTATGCGCCCACTCCGATGATTCATAAGCTATTTTTCTCACTACCTGCTGTCGCTGCACCGACAGTGCAAGATACTATGGTGCTAGCACCTGTTGTTATTCCGCTTGTGGCAACAATGAATGATGATGAGGAACCTGTTCTTCAGGATCCTGTAGAACCTATTGCCACAAATGAGGGGGAGCAACAACAACCTCAAACAGAAGATGTGCCAAATGTGGAGGCCCCTAGAAGGTCTCAAAGAGTTAGAAAATCAGCTATTCCTGCTGACTACGAAGTGTACAACACTGAGGACTTTCAAATGGAGGATGATCCCACCTTATTTGAAGAAGCCATGAGAAGTGATCATTCATCAAAGTGGCTTGAGGCCATGGAAGATGAAATGAAATCTATGAATGCCAATAAAGTTTGGGATTTGGAAATAATTCCTAAAGGAGCCAAAACAGTAGGCTGTAAATGGGTCTACAAAACAAAACTTGACTCTCAAGAGAATATAGAGAGATATAAAGCGCGACTTGTGGCAAAAGGCTTTACGCAAAGAGAAGTGATTGATTACAATGAGACCTTTTCTCCAGTCTCATGTAAGGATTCCTTCAGAATCATAAAGGCATTAGTGGCATATTACGATTTAGAATTACATCAGATGGATGTAAAGACGGTATTTCTCAACGGGGACTTGGAGGGAAATGTTTACATGGCACAACCGAAAGGTTTTGTCATGGAAGGAAAAGAACGAATGGGATGCCACCTAAAGAAATCCATTTATGGATTAAAAGAAGCTTCAAGACAGTGGTACTTGAAGTTTGATCAGATAATAAGAAATTTTGGGTTTAAAGAGAATGTAGAGGACAATTGTGTCTATACAAAGTTTAAGAATGGGAACTTCATCTTCCTTGTCCTGTATGTGGATGATATCTTACTTGCTAGTAGTGATGTCAGTCTACTACTGGAAACAAAGAAGTTTTTGTCCTTCAAATTTGATATGAAAGATCTTGGTGAAACTTCGTTCGTTCTAGGGATCGAGATTCACCGAGATAGAAGTAAAGGAGTATTAGGACTGTCACAAAAGGCATACATAGAGAAAATCTTAAAGAAATTCAGTATGCACAAATGTAGTCCCTCACCTGCTCCTATAGTCAAGGGCGACAGATATGTGGATTTTCAATGCCCTAGGAACCAATATGAGATCGATCAAATGAAAGTGGTTCCATATGCTTTAGATGTCGGAAGCTTGCAATATGCTCAAGTATGTACGCGCTCTGACTTGGCATTTATTACAGGGTTACTTGGTAGATTCTAGAGCAATCCTGGAATAGAACATTGGAAATTGGTAAAGAAAGTCTTGCGTTATTTGCAAGGAACGAAAGGCCTCGTGATGACGTATAGAAGATCTAAT